ATCATACGAGACCTGCAATTATCCATCTTCACTCTATTTAAATGTACCAATCACCATTTACACGGCCGCTGTGGTCCTGTTTTCCAAAATTGTTTTAAATTCCGCACGAAAAAAAAAGTGGGTTACCACATTGGGCTTCAGTAATAATCCTAAGTATGACGTTGATCTAAAATCTACTGAAATGGACAATCCGCCAGAAACCAAACTCAAAAAAAAGGGCCGGAGGGCGTGCGATTGTCCGACAGGTCGGGGCACTGTTGTCACTAGTGGGAAACTGTTTCACATCAAAAAATGTCTTAGAAAACCGTCAAGAGTCATAAAACTTCTGTCACAAAAATTGTCACTCATCAAAAACTTGCTATAAACTCCACGAGTTTTTCACTTCTTAAAACTGTAACCTAAACCATGACTTTTGCCACAAATCCGTCACATGACAAAAAGACAAAAAAAAATCATTAAAAATGAAAAACAAACCCTTCAGAAATTTTGAACCAAAACATCTAAACCGTAACTTTCTAACCTAAATTTGAACCAAAAACCTACTCTAAACCCATTTGAAAATCAATGACACTTGCAAGCCAAACCAACAACACGAGAGACATCAGTGTTTAATGTAGTTCATTCTCAAGGGCTGCGAGCACGGAGTATTTTTATACGTGAGAGATTTTACGTGGAAACACAATAATTCATGCAACGCAAAACCATTTGTGTGTGTGTGTGTATATATATATATATATATATATATATATATCCAACATATGCAACTAATTTCAACTATAAATAGCTCAACACTATGTTACTCTTTAACCTTCATTAACCTCAACACTCATCATCAAGCCTTTGTACATTAGGCATTTTAAAATTAGATGACTAATATCCCTAATTTCAAATCTCTTGAGTATCTAATCTCAAAATTATTTCTAAAAATAATTTCAGAACAAAAATTTCCAAATGGCTGGAACGGTGCAACGGACTAGTAGATTTTGTCAGCGGACTGGATTTATCAATTTTAAATACAACGGTTGTCGAGAGTGACTTTTCAATGTTGAGATTCAGAAATGATGTTTTTAATATGTCACTAATTGATTTTTTTCTAAAATGATTTCTCCAATGTAAAGAGTATGATATGTTGCGCAACTTGAAGCAATAAAACAGGGAGATTATGTTTTCTAAGGGAATTCCTGCTTCAAATACATGCAAGAATGATTCGCGTGGTTGTACGTAACCTCTTAGACCTAATGTCTTTTACGTTAGTTCAGAGGGACCGAGAAAGAGAGAGTAATTCAGATAATGGTGATTGCACAGTGGCAAGATACATATCAGAAGAGTTCATGAAGTGGATCGAGCTGAGGCTCCGAACTTGGAAATCAGTCAAATTAGAAATAGATACACTCGTGCCTGATGCTATCAGGAACAAGAGGTTGAGAGAAATTTATCTAGATCTGAAATTTCTTATATCAACTTATTTTTGTGAGAAGTGTTAATTGAAATTGATTGAATAAGTTTTGCATAGAATTTTTTTTTTGTAAGATCTTACGAGAATTAAGTCATTGCTTTTTAAAATTGATTTGAAATCGATAGAATGTCTGTCTTGGGTTTTTTGTAAACAATGATGCCTAATCTTGTCTAATTTCATTAAGGATTTGTGCCTAATATGTTTCGATTAGACACAAATACAGAGTTAAACCTCCCAAAAGTGTCACCTCTTATGAGTGACATCCTCTCATTAGTGACGTAAAATCCCAGAACCATTAGTTTCTAACTTGTAAATCTGCTCAATAAGAACGGCACGTCACTATTCCCAATAGTGACATGATACTATACAATAGTGACAATTTCAATGTAATTGCAGAGTAAAAATTCCTATCATTATCACAATACATAGTTATGAGACTAAAAAATTGTGGCATAAGTATATTTAAAGGTATATCTGAACAATTCACTCTTTTTGAATTTAAGTAAAGGTTTAGGGTTTAACCCTAAACCCATAGTTTGCTACATATATTATCATTAATTGTTTCACTCAGATTTGTGTGTATTAATCTAAATTTAAATGTAATTATAACATCCATGTTAACAATACAGATGTGCAAATAAAGGTCATTTTGAAACCAAACAAAAAATTCATAGAAAGTCTTAGGATTGATGCAATGCACGATAAGAAATATATGAATTTTTTTTAATATAATTGACACCTCCCATCAATGACATATAACCCCAGCAACGATGTATGTTGTTATTAGAAGGTTATATTAAAATTATGCACCTCCCAATAGTGACATCCAATTTTAACACCAATGTATGTTATTATTAGGAGGTTATACACACTTTACTCTTGTGAGTGACACTTCGCAATAGTGACGTAAAACCTAAGTACCAATATATGTCACTATTGGGAGGTTTAACTCTGTAGCTATATGCATAATCTACAAAGGCCTGCTCATTAGTGAAATTTTTTTTCCATTGGGATATTTATGGTTTTGATTATCTAATAATCAGAACATGATATGAAGATCAAATCATGGTCTTTCTAAAACTGAGAAGTTGTGATTTGGACACACACGATTTTTTTTCATTCACATGTAAATATTGTTGTCTTCATCCTTATTCCTCAGACTAGTTAAAAATGGCTGGTGGATGGTTGAAAATAATAAAGATGTAATGATATGCGCCTTTATCAAAACACTTACATACCTCCACTTAAGATTTCCAAAGTAGGTAGTAAGATAAATTTTTCAAAAGTAGTTGACTCCTCTTGGCCTCCATATGAGCTACTTATAAGTTTCTAGAGCATCACCTTCGATCATGATTAACCTCAAGTATCTTGTGCAAATCAATCGAGATTAACATAATGAGCCATGGTAAAACATGTTTTTTGGTGATGTGGTGCTGAAAGTCCGAACTAGATCTAAAATCAGGTTTGAGTAAGGGAAAATGCCTTCAAGGCTTTCTATTGAGCGGTATGTAGCAAATTATCATCACAATACATGAGTGCCTTAAACACTATAGAAATAAGAGTTGCATACTCTCTCAAATCAGATCATCTGTCAACAAGAACTTTGCAAGCATGAGATGCAGATGCAGTTTCCTCAGCGTTTTTTACATAGTCTTCATGGCTTTGACATTTGAAATATTTGGTCGTATCTGTTACTAACTGGATGAGTTGACGAAGGACTTAACTCGAAAGTCAGACGATAACAACTTAAAGTGGCAAAGTAGGTACAGAAATCTGTTTGTTGTCAGGCTATTATAAAAATATAAGTAGTGACGACCTTACACCGTTCTCAGGCTGTGCCTAAGTTTGAATATATTTTTTCGGCTCTGTCTCTATATTGCTTCAATTACACCTTATGCAGTAAGATAATTGCATTTGGTGTAATCGACGCAACGTACGGCGTCATCTTAACGACCGCGTTGATTCCATCATGAGTTTTTCCTTTTTCAGAAGTTTGACTTTGGCAGTAAGATTCGTTGGCAATTTCAATGTCTTGCGCGTTTACTTTTGTGTCTAAGCTCTTTATAATTGAGAACTTTGAGTCTTACTTTTTAGCATCGGCCGAGGTTGAGTCCACCACGGATAAAATCAACGACTTCGTCCCGAAGCACAGGACATATCTTGATAGACCACGAATGTTATCTTCGTCAGACTATATATTATGTTTTTTCCAGGAATGTGTCAAGCTACATCTCCCCTTTTCTCACTATAACACCTTCATCTTCTATCTTGTATTTGCAATCTCATGCATTGGTAGTCGTGCTGATCCTGGATTGGCAAACTGCTGACAGAGCATATCGTTCAGTGTATGACGATGGTAGTTGGACGAATTTGACTACCCGAGGAAACGAGTCCAATGAGTGGAACAAATCTATCTTTATGATTGAAAGTTCAGAAACGGTACATCCTCCTTTCGGACGAAAGAGTGAATGTGCGATAGGTTCAATCATTAGGAGGAGAAGATATGGGTCGTCACATGAAAATATTCAATCTTGCTGATAGTACAACAGATAATTGATTGTGAGGCAGATTACCTTGATAATTTTTTTCTGACACTCCGTTCTGTGCTTCTGTACACAGCTAGTTGTCTACTGACAAGACAGGGCTCTCACCTCGTTTTGTCCCGACAATTTCTTTGTTCTTGATCCTATGAACCTGCTCTCTATAATTCTCGTGGGGAACTTTAGACATGATCTGTCCAAAGGATGCTTGAGCATGGTTTCACCTTTCTGAACACTCTTTTCTTGTGAGCACTTGTTGGGTACCACCAGAAGCAACCTTGACTTTTATAGTGAGTTGTGCCTTCGACCGCTGAATAAAGATGTGATGAAGTGTATCTGGAGAAGGCTAACAAACCATCTTGGCTCCGTGGCTCGAATTTCCGCGATTTAATGAAAGGTTGTTCGAACTTACAAGTTTTATATTGGCTGTAGAGCTTGTATTGATCGAGGTCTTCATATCTAAGGAAAACAAACGGCTCTAGAATTCACTTCGGTTACAAATTCCGGTCTGCTATGCTGCAGCTCAGTACCTTGAGACGGAGTCTAAACTATTCAAGCCGGTTCGATATCTAGTCTCTGTACATTTTCTCGCAAAGCTAGCAGTGGAGTCCGATGGAATAGTTGAAAATATTTTCTGTGCCTCTTTTACATTCTTGCCTTGACGGCATATACAGACTGGATAATGATGTGGTTCCGATATGAGAAGAACAATCAGATCAAAAGTTGTGTAGAGTCCCTAAAAGTGAGCTTATCAGGAAGCTGGAATACATGAAGCTGAATCTGTTGAAGCTGCAGTGTTTTATCTAGTATTCCAGAACTCTGCTCTGCTCGTCAAAATTATACTACAGATCCCTGCAATTGACGTGATGAGCTAGATTGAACAATAATACTCAGGATGTTTTACAAGTTAGTATCGATCGAGCCCGAAGTACATGAAATCATCAAGTTATGTATCGAAGTGCAGAACTCAAAACATCAATGAGATGACTTAGACCTGCTGAATAATAAGTCATTGGAAGTTTATTATGTACATATTCAGAGCAAGATCGATGATCCTTTGCTGCGCTGTTGAAGAGCAGGATCCTATTCAATATGATTGCATAGATCTGTTAAAGCTACGTGCCGAAAACCAAATTCCGTGCAGATCCACTGCAACAGCTATGACGCTTCGGGAAGCCCAATTTTGATCTTTTGGGCTGTCACTGACACTTGATTTTGATTTTCACACTGTATGTCCAGGGACATACAATGTGAAAGGACAAAATCTAAAGCCAGACAGAAGTAGACGGCTTTACCCTGTCAAAGTAATTTGTGATGTCTCTGACGCGACCAGTAGGTTGGTAACAGTTAAAGCATTCATCGCACATCCACACGACAGTTTTAGAATACGGATCTGATTCCTTCGATGATGACAACTCTACGCGTTTCAATTTTATTTTCTCATAGAACACAGCGGATCCCAATTCTCTTATACTGTCCATCACCAGCATTGCTGAAAGTTCTTTCACAGATTCCCTGGGACCAAGACTGTCAAGACTGACTTGCGATAAAGTTTCCTGCGCTCCCTCGGCAAATGACTGCGATGTAGAGTCCTGCGCTCCCTTGGCCACCCACGCGACCCCATCTGCCATTTTCGACGTGTCACCACTTTCTTTATAATTGGGAAGGAGTAAACCGAGTCCTGGAGCGACAATATTACCGACGATTTTAGCCGTGATGAGGGTCACTTTTAAGGTCCAAGAGAGGCATGGTTCAACTTTACGCAGCCATTCTCTCATGTTCTTAATCTCGAGACCTTCTTGCTTCTCGACATGGTGAGGAACTCCGTCACTGTAGTCGCACTCGCAGAGCAGATGCATTCGGAAGCGTTCGTGAAATGCCTGTCGGGCCGAGAGGTAGAAGCGGGAATCGTCCTCCTTGGCGAGGAAGATGTACCTCGGATAACAGTTCTCTTTCTCCTCGATGGAGTAGCGATTCAAAGCCAGGATCTGGTTCAGAAGCTTCTTCTGGCACTCGAAGGCCTTGTCGAACTTCTTCTGCAGCTCCTCACATTTTCGGTCGATGTGCTTTATGATTTTTTGGCCCTCCTCCCGAACTACCTTCTGAACCACGGAAATGATCAGTGCCGTATCGCCCTGAGTCCCGTCCTGCTTGAGGGCCTCTTCCGTCTCATCTGCCATCGGCAGCGAGCTCGGGGGCAGCAGATCGAATTTCTCGATTTCGGACTGGGCAATCAGAAGGCTCTCGTTCACACTGGAGTGGATGGCCTCGAGCTCTCTCGCGGACAATAGCTGACCATTCTGCACTCCAACTTGTCCTACCCTCATGGTGGTGGAACTGTGCAGCCCATGCTTGCGAACGCGCATCTTCAGCTCGTCCACAGGGATCAGCTTCCTTTCGGCCATGGGGACTGTTGCACTGTCGGCACGCCAGGGCCCGATGGCCTTCCGTTCCAGTTCCACGCTGGGGCAGGTCTGGGTGCACAGGCGCTCGACCAGGTCCATAATCTCAAGAACAAGATCGAGGTCCGTGTGGTACGAGTGGTCCTCGACTTCGACCCCACTGACGGCATCGACCTGCTTGACCATGCGCTTGACGAGCACATCGATCCGATCGTCCCCTGGGTCGGATTCATCGACATCGAACTGCACGAGAACCATCTGAGATCCGACCATGAAGAACGAAAACGTCTTGCCGGCGCAGTAGTCGCTGTCACTCCCTTGGAGCCCGAATTTCTTGTCCTGAGCCAGAAGGACTTGCAGCTTCCTGAACACGGACGAGGGAATGAATCCCTTGTCCTCCTCTCTGGGCTGGAGAGATCGCCCCATGACCCAGTACACTCCCTGCCTCTCCCACTTGCTCAGATTGTCCTCTCGGATCAGAGCCGGGATGAAAACTCTCTCCTTTCCCACATCGTAGCACAACCCCAGCTTGGCGAGCATGTCAATCAGTTCATCGGTGTTCGCGCTGTCCTTGTTGAGAGCTTGGAAGTGGCCGGCGAGCATAGAGCGTTTGAGAGATCCGTCGTCTCCCACGATTTGGGATAGGGACGACTGCTTAGCTGCTAGCATTTGCTCAGGTAGTAATATCTCTCCCATGACTTTCCTGCCGAACCATTCCGGATCTGCGACGACAAATCTATCGGTCTCCTTCCCAACCGGAGAATTCCTGTAGTAGATGACGCACCCTGACTCTTGCAAGTGAGCAGTGGCTGCGTCTAATTTGTCAGCTGTGATGCCTCGTTTCTCCATCATCTGGCTGAACAATGTCCAGTTGAGGACCGGGAAGTTGCTATGCTTACTCTTCCAGTCGAGCAGAAACCCATGAATTTCCAAGCATACTTTGGGTATCTTGACATCTTTGAGAGCATTTTCGACTTTGGATAGCAGGTGCTGCTTCAGCTTCTGGACAGACCTTCTCTTTCTTGCATCGACTACAAAAGGCTCCGAGTGGATGTCGAGCGAATCAGAGAACGCTTTGCCTACATCTTTCAGAAGACTGCCCCAGAAAGTCTTCTGACGGTTGAAATCTTCAGCTTCAACACCGCCATGGATTCGAGAATTTATGCAGTTCAGAGCTAAGACCAAGTGGCGCTTGATCCCCTTCACAGACCCGGCCGCGATGAATCTGAGCCAGTAGCGCAGCTCACGTTCACTTTTTGCAGCTTCTGGCGGCTTTACCAAATCAGCACGAAAGACCAGCAAGAAAGTTGTAGCCTTGCCGGATGCCAGTCCGAGGTCTGGGAGGAAGGCCCCGTGCATCACATGGAACTCTTGCTGGCCAGCTAAATCCCACAGAATAAGTGTCAGCGCTTCTGCAGAGGTTCCAGCTTCACCAGAAACCGCAGACAACTCCATTCCTCGGGTGCGCGGCTCCTCATGAAACCGAGGCCTGCGTTCCCACTTGATCAAGGACTTCAGAAGGTTTCTCTCCATCGATCTTCTCAGTGTGGTTTTGCCCACCTTCTCATATCCACATATGAAAACTTTGGCCATGCGCGGAACTACTTGCTCCTCGTCCAGTGAAGTCAGTGTGAACTCCTCTGCGCGCATGTTGTTCACTCTCTGCTCCTGCATTTGTATTTTTAAGGATTCGTCGGGCCAAGATACATTCACATCCACCGTCAAATTTGGATTCTGTCTGTATGCGTCCCTAAGAGCTTTCGCTCCTATCAAATCAAGGGTTTTGTCTTCACCTAAATCCAGCATGCCAAGTTTCGGTACGCATGTGGGATCCGACAGGACTGTGGACAAAGCGACAATGCCCTGATTCGATATCATATTTCTCCCGTGCACGCGAATTTTTCGGATGTTGACAAGTTTCCGTTTTTTCATGGCTTGAGCTAGAGACGCAGTCGCGACGTCTGTAAATGAGTTGCTTTCAAGGCAGAGAGTCTCTAGCAGAGGCGTCTGGTCGATCCCGTCGAGGATCTGCTGCACCCCACTGTCTCCGAGTTTGCACCAGCTCAGGTCTAAGTGCCTCAGTTGACATAGCTGACCACTCTGGATTGCTCTGGCCAGGAATTTACAGCCCTTGTAGTTGAGAAAGTTGTTTGAGAAATCCAGGCACTCCAGCTTCATGAGGTCCCCTGACTTCACTCTCCTCATGAATTGCTCAATCTGATCCTCTGTTGAAATACAGTCTCTGAGACCGAGGATTCTGAGTGCCGAAAGCGCTCCCTCTTCGAAGAAATTCTTCAGCTCGGAAGAACTCTGCATCAGCTTCCTGTAGAATTCCATACGCAATTCTTCCAATCTCGAAATGTTTCCTCTGAGCATAGCCGCGGCAATTGTGGGAACGTGGCAGGGTGGAAGGCACAGAACCCTGAGGTGTGGCAAGCAACCACCTGCTAAAACTTCTGCCAAGGCTGCACTAGACGTCATGTCCATCTGACAGTGGAGATTTTCCGACAAATTCAAAACCTCTAACGCTGCGAAGCGTGTTGTGCTGAGAACGTCACTTAGAATTTGCACGACAGAACCTGTAATCAAGGTTTTGGAAAGATCCAACTCCCGCAGCTTCGATATATCAGCCCATCTCAGCACGTCCAGCAAGGTTTCAGCTTCTCTGCTCTGGAGCCCAGATAAATCATTGATCGAACGAATGCCCTGCACTTGCTCTACGCACATCCTGACTACATTCTCGTATTCCACTGAATCGTCCTGCGCACTAGTATGCTCCAATCTTCTTACCAAATCCCTCAACTTTTCTCTCCGCTGCGCAGACGGAGATTCTGAAGAGGCCATGGAATTCCACTCACCTCACTCTGGACAGATTGCAGACTTGCACTGTGCAGAACTAAGAGTCGATAATCATGAGGCGAGGAAGCTTCAACAGTCTGCGTTCAGGATACCACTCAGAAATCAGCTTCATACCATCTCGCGGTCGAGACTTGGACATGGAGTAGTATATAGTTTCAAAGACTGCACGAAATGAGGAGGCCGGAGATGCTCACATGGACCAATCACAAAGAAATCAGAGTCAACAGAGCTAAGCCAGAGAGGGGAGAAGAGACGACCGCTTGGAGAAAAGAAAACAGAACAGTGCAAGAAACTGGGGAGGACAAACAAGTCAACTTGCTTTCGCTCCGGTCTCGCCGGCATGAATATTTATATTGCGAAATGTTATGCTAGTCACCAACTTTATGATCGGGCATGGCACTATACTTGTTATGATTATGATCTCATGATTAAGGTAATGTTAGTAGTTACTACTCTATTTTAGGCAGGATATTTCAATTGTTATACACAGAGCATTGGCTGTAGTGAAGTAATCACTTCAAATACTGATTTATATAATCTGATATATATATATATATGCGAAATATTGAAGGTGTTGTAGGTGTTGTAGTATTGTCCATATGATACTATCAAGACCTAGAACCTTGTTTCTATGTCTTCTTTATCAAAGGGACTTACAGAGTTTTGTCCAACAATTAACAAACCAGAGGCTTGTGAATTTGGACTATTGTTGCTGCCTACGTGGAATCGATCTCAAGATTTGCATTGCACACGAGAAGACCCTGGTCTAAAGGGACCCTAAACCTCTACAAGCACAGCGCATAACATAATCATGATTATGTTATGGCAGTATACTTGTTGATCTTAGTCATGGATTCGTCATACGAGCTAAAAACCTTTCGAGGAAGGAGATGCCTGAAGGACCGATTCAAAGTGTAGATCAGGAGATGCCTGAAGGACCGATTCAAAGTGTAGATCAGGAGATGCCTGAAGAACCGATTCAAAGTGTAGATCAGGAGCACGCTCGAGAAATATTAATATGGAGAGAGGAGAGCAGCTAATCGTTTATCTTACATCATCACAAAGCGCAGTCTTGCACATCTGGATTAGTATATGAGCAGACGACATCTGCTCTTCTGCTTCGTATCAGAGCAGTGGGGTTGGGCCTAACATGAGCTCCTTAGCTTGGTATCTCGTGCAAAGCTCTTTGATCAGGTATCTCATTAGTTTCGTTTTAGATGCATGACAACACAATTGTGGTGATCGAGACGTTGATTGTGGTGCTTTCCAAATTCTCAGCTAATTATCGTACTGGCACTCATGGTCCTCGTTGACTAAGAGAGGAACGTCACTGTACGAGATTTCCCACAATCGTGGTAAAGGTCTTGAATGTACTGTTCTAGTGAAAAGTTTCACTGCGTTCGATGACGCATGTCCCGTCCTGGGGCTCTATCCAGAACGGCTGTCATACACTCTCTACTCTGAGGAATTGGGGAATCAGGTACATTTACAAGAGAAATGTACAAGTAAAGTTTCTCGATTCTCTTGGTCTGAGACCTTCGCGTGCATGCCTACATGAAATAACTCCGGTTTCAAAGTTTCAAAGAGAACAAACGGAAACCTTGTTCGTTCAAAATCAAATGGCTCGGATCATTGCAGAGCAGAACTTAGCTGATTCTCCGCTCGTGGAGGTCGACAAGTGCGTCCTAGAGCCGAGCTGGAACTGATAGCTGCAGAGCTAACCCTGGTCAGAAGTAGAGCTGGAGGCGTGGCAGAAAAACATGAGGGTGATTCTGAAACAAGTTATGTTAAGAAATCGGACAGGCTGGAATCAGAAGAGCAAGTGCCGATTTTGCCACAGCCAGCAGACTTTCCAATCTTCCAGCTCTATCTACAGGTTTCGGGAGGCGAGCTCGGAATCGGACCTGCGATCTGCCCCCTCGAAGTCGGCTGCCCTGCTCAGAGCGCAAACAAACTTTTGACGTCCTCTCTAGGTGCCTTGGAAAAGCAATTTCCATCCTATGCATGCATCATTGCGTGATGCGATCCTTATTCAGCCAATCAAAGGAAGACCACGAGCGTGAGCACAAATCTGGATAACAAAGTCAGTGTATCAATACGTAATCAATAGGATTTTTTAGCAATTAAAGTTTAAGGGCGTTCATGGTTCATCCCAATAAAAACCAGATCAACACATTTGGCTGGTTAGGCGACGGAGTGCATACTTCATGTTCACGATGAACCTCTTAAGAAGCGAGTACAATCCAAACCTTGGGAGGAAGAGAAGAGTTCGTCTGTTCATGCGCAAACGCCAAGAAGAGTAGCACAAGATGGAGGCGGTTGGAATTTGAGCCGTTTGCAGGATTAAGCATCCAGGAAAGTTTGTTTTGAAAAAGACATCCTAGAGCTATGAAAGATTAGTTGCAGTTGGCAATTTCAAAAATTGGCTTTGAATCCTGAACTTTCCCAATGAAATACAGAGTTTAACCTCCCAATAGTGACATAAATTTTTAGGGTTTTAACGTCACTAATGGGAGGTGTTAGTCACAAGAGTGAAGTGCGCATCGTTGAGTATCACCTCCCAATACTGAAAGAGAGTTTGAACTCACAAAAATAAAGTGCGCAACTTTCTTATCGTACGTTCCACCCATCCTGGAGTTCCGTAAGTTCCTACTTTGGCTGCAAGATCTACTTAACACGCAATTTTGTATTGTTCAGGAAGAAGATGCTATTATCGCGTTTTAATACGGATGTGTACCTTTGAATAGGGATACATGCACCAAAATTTGAATGAAACTATTAGATGACATCATTTGTAGCGGAGTATTACTTCTGAAGCCTAGAGAATAAACCGTTGAGACGTTTGAATAATATATATTACATTACACTTTTCGAAAATTACACTTGTAACTATGATTATTGATTATTATTATGTCATTTGGTGACGTAATGTTATTATTAGACAGATTTACTAGTTATAATTTAATGGTTATAGAAATCCATATCACTAATGGGAAGATGTCACTAATACAAGATGACACTATTGGTAGATTAAACTCTGTAAATGCCTTAAAATATCGTAGAAAGTAGCCGCAGAGCAACGGGCAGAGCAACATTATTATCTTTTATGTTGTACGTCTTCACACCAAAGGTCAATCTTCTTTCTTATAATTATAGGAAAGAAACTTGGAGATTTCATTCGACTTCTTACCAAGAGTCGAGAGTTGAAGTTAACATTTACAAATAGAATTGAGATTAGTTGTTTTTTCTGGTGAGAGCAACGTGCTCATCAATAAGAATTCCAAGAATTAGTTGACTTACATGACCAATTTGCTTTCATATGACAATGAGAATAATGTGGAAAAAATAATTTACACACATTCATTTGATATCTTTAAACTATGTATATAAGAATTTGGTTGAGAAAAAAAAATTTATAATTAGAACATACTAAAATAAAATATTAAACATTTTTTCAAATTCAAACTGAAAGATAATGATACCATTATATTATTAGTTTATAATGAGTCTAGTAAGCTTGGTATTTTAGTCAGATGTAAACCGTAAAACCTACATGTCATTCAAGTACAACAAGGGATGAGATTTTGATTTACGAAACCAGTGTTTGCTTTACATATGAATTATATTCTCGATAAAAGTCATTGTTTGAAACATATGCTTATGGCGTTGATTCTCTATTGCACTTGTGTTCTCCACGTCTATCTATCTATGGCTTAACGACAACAAATTTTCTATTGGAAAATATGACAAAGTAATGAGAATAAGCTCAGTGAATGGTTTGTTGACATTATTGCTTGTTGAGGCCCATTTCATTCGGTCAATCGCCAATCACAAATGCATGCTTAGGGTCAATTTCGAATATTGACAGGGCCCACACACTTGGCTTTTATTAAACGCTGAACGCACACTGTGCTCCGCGCCTCCTTCGTCCTGCGAACCCTTGAGCGGCGTACAAGCTCAAAAGGTTTTGAGGACCTATCTGCGATGAGTTTGAACCCACTTTCAGTCTCGTTGCAATGAATGAACTCACAGTCTACAGCCAGGTATGATGCTCTAGCTGTGCTTTCCAAAGTATTCAGGCATAATATATAAAGGGAAGGAAACATTTTGTTAAATGCAATGAAAAAAGGAGGCAAAAAAAAAAGAAAAGGATTGACCTCATAAAGACGAGTACTGTACCATTGTACAGTACTCGTCTTTATGAGGTAAATCCTTTTTTTTTTTTGCCTGAAATAAATAAATGCAACAAAATATGGTATGGTAGAAGTGGAGGTCAAATGTCAAAACACACAATAATAACAAGTAACCGTAATGATAATAATTATGCATGGACATTCCAGTAACGTTTGAAATTTCCACGCATAAATCAAGAGGTTTCTCAAACAAAAAGAATTCAATCGCACCGTCAACACAACAATGCACAATATACAAAGCAAGATCATAATTATGGATTTTCAAATGAAGCGCTGCTAGAATTGTAGATTGAAGAAAAAAAATTGAATGCAAAATAAAATTTCAATATGACAATGGAATATGATTATGCAATAAAGAAAACAATGAAATGAGATTATTTGCAATTGAGAACGTTGGAAAGTTTAAGTGAATGAAGATAAAATCTTCTATTCAAACTTAGAGGCTTGTGCAAAACTATTAGATTCTATTTTATTCGAAAAAAGTAAATGGTATTCGAAATCTTTATATATTTGCATTTTGTAAATGGAAGTACTATATCTTTTATTAAACTTACACAATCTACAAATATAACACAATGATGTGACATCGCAAGATTTTATTACAATGTGATAATTGCAATACATTGCGCATACGTGAAAGGAGTGAAAAATCTTTATCGCAATTAGTTATAATTCATTTGATGGATTTATAAAAAAAAATTCCTTTCCAAACGCGCCCACTTATACGATTCTTGTTGTTTGTAGGACGTTTGTAAGTTTTGGAGTAAAGAAAAACTAATAAGCTAGAGGTTAAGAAAGTACAGTTGGTTTCCGCATAACACGCTGTTTCCTGCCAATGTCTTTCATGTAGTTATTCTGTAATAAAGCCATTTCCGCGCTTGGGACCTCTAAAACCCTAAAAATCGTTTTCGGCGTTTGATAAATAAATTTTTTTCTCTCCAAAGCATGGGTT